CTTTAACAGAATTACTACTCTCCCAAACAAATGTATCAAGAAATCAAAAGAAAATAGCTGAATCCGTGAACACAACAATAAAAACAATACCTCCACACATGACAGTACTTGACGTAATTTTCAGTTAATAGTATGAAAATAGCATTCTCTAAATTCTTCCAGTTGCTAAGAACATTTTGTTTTGTTATTATTAGTTACTTTGTTTAATAAATTAATTTTGTTTTTGGCTTGAAAAAGTCCACATGAATGAAACGTGTCAGCTACCATTACAGTTTTCCTATTATCTTTTACATATATATATATATATATATATATATAAAATCATAAGGGAGTTGTGAAACATTCTTGGCTTGACTCCTTTGCTGAATCTGATTAAACAACCAAACATCAGAATTTCTGGTAGGAAATACTGCTTGGTTGAGCTGAGATCTTTTCTGCACCCTTGCCTTGGACATGCATACATAAATTAGAATTTTGTACGTAAAATGTTTTTTGTAAATGTGATAAAAATTACGGGAGTTATCATTTTATAAGCTGTCTGGTTTAAAAGGGATATTTATTGGATTACACTTGAGTGCATCCCCTCCAAACCCTGTAACAACACAACTTGATGCTCAGTTTTATATATATATACTAGCAGTAGAGCCCGGCATTGCCCGGGGATGTAACAGTAAGAGATAGATCAAGTATCGACCATTATAAAGACTGAAAAATAAAATTGACAAAGATTATTGTTTAAGGTTGATGGACACGCATGTCTTAATTAGTTATTTTTTTTTGTTTTGTTTTTTTATTACGAATTGGTCAAACCCAAACAAAAACATTGTTTTCAATCATTATGAGTTTACCGATTGAATAGAATTTTATTATAAACAATTGTCTTGTAAATGGAATTTTTAAAGCATTCTGAATGTAAAAATAAGGAAAAAAGTGTGCAAGACAATAAGAAACACTACCTACCAAAAAAAAGTGAAGTTTTGTTGAAATCGGTTGAAAAATGTAGGAAATCCGATCCCATATATAAATGAACACACACATACAAACAACCTTGGTTTTATAATAAGTATGAGATATATATATATATATATATATATATATATATATATATATATATATATAATGATTGATAATATGAATGTATTGGGAGATTATGTAATATTCTTTCAAGTGCATCATAGAAACAGGCATATATGACTTTTTTGTGTTGAGCTGTCAACATTTTTTATAACCACAATGATAAACAGTCATTTGTGTTTATTTCTTCTTGGTGTTCTCAGTGATAAATAAATTAAACCGAGCCATTTTCTATCAATTATTATTTACTTGGATTCAGATAAGCCCCTTTTCATTTTCCATTTCAGGATAATGTTACATATACAAGAGAACTGGTGGTCTTTTGCTTTTTATTGGACACAGATATTTTCAGATAACAGTAAATCGTAAAAGATAGGAAATTAATACACAATTTAAAAAATGTAGTATTGTACAAAAAGGAAATTAGATTGAAACAGATTAAGTAAAAATAAAAACTGTACAGCAATGATTCTAATCTATATATTATGAATTTCTTTCATATTGAGATATATGTATCAAAATAGTATTGGTCAATAAATTTACTCAAAGTATTTCTCCCTAAGAGATATTAAAAATAGAAAGTGAATGCAATTACAGTTTGGATATTGATTTCACTTCTTAAACTAATCATTCAAATAAATCATAGCCTTGAAGTAGTTAACAAAATTACAGTAAATTATTCATGTTTTCTATTTACAGCAAAGCTATTATAGTAAAATACTACAAGTAAAATATAAAATGACAGAAGAAAAAAGATTTTTAAAAAAATTCAGGGACTGAAAATTGGGTGAATAATCTGAAAATATATTACACCATATATATATATATATATATATATATATATATATATATATATATATATATATTATTAAGAAACAGATGGCTTTAAGGTTTCATGATGATTATAATTTATTCCCTTAGGATCAAAATGCAATCCTAATTACTCAGATTGAATTTTGATCCTAAGAAAATAAATTATAATCATCATGAAACCATAAAATGCCTGTTTCTTAATAATAATAATTAATATTTGCTCTGTTTTTTACATTGAGCTCTCTGGATTATATCCTCCTTGGAATTAGCCATATGGATAACCAAAAATCATTATTATATATATATATATATATATATATATATATATATATATATATATATATTATTTCTATGATAAAAGATTATAATAAAACATATTGAAATTGCTAAACAAAAGCTTTCATGTTTCAATACTTTGTGTATATATATATATATATATATATACATATTAAAGAATTTCACCCCAAGCAAGGTGGGAATGCCACTAACACACAATGGGTTACAGAAAGTGAAAGTAGGAGTAAAGAGGGGTGTTTGAGGAAAAGATAAAGATAAAGTGAAGGATGGCGATCAAAGCATCAGAAGATGTTGATTGACATTACATTTAAATTGTTGAAGATTATAGTTATCAGGGAAGCAAATAAGAGGAAAAGAGTTCCACTCTCAGGAAGTGCAAGAGAAGAAGCTGTTGAAGTAGAAGAGGTGATTACATTTAACTGTTTTGACAGTAGAATGGTGGAACCGAGATGCCAATCCAGTAGCATGCTTAAATTCATGCAATTGGGGCACCAGTGAAAATAGCTAATCAGAGCAGTTACATCTATTTAAGTTTTTGTTTTGTGTAACATTTGTGGGTCAGTGTGTAAAATTTTGATATGAGATGCACAGAGTCAAAACCCCATTCACATCCACATGCCTCGCTGAAAATTACATGAGACTGCCCAAAAGGGATGGAGACACCAGTTCACAGTAAGAAGTAAATTCTAACTGATCTCTTGTATCCTCCATGACTATGGAGAAGCACGCATACACGTACTGACTCTTTTACACAAACGATAACCCACCAGCCCAAATTCAAGTTATATTTGTTTTTGAAAAGAAAAAAACAAACATATAATAACATTTCATTGTTTCCCACAGATGTACATAAATTATATTTATTTATTTCTTCCTAATTTGACCTAAAAAGGAAATAAAATAAAGTCAAATTTGTAAATAGAATATTCAACACAGTTAATGTCTGTCTCACAGAAATTTTATTTAACCAAAGTTCTTTTTTCCTTTTCAAAAACAAATATAACTTGAATTTGGGTAGGTGGGTTTGTTATATTATAATAAATATTTGTTATTTTGCACACTTTCCCTCATTTGTTGCACAGAAAAAAATGTACTTGGATTAAATGAAAATTACTTACAATATAATATATATTAATTATAATACATTCCTTCTTGCTGTCGATTTTGACAGCACAGGTACATCAGTATTATATATCTGTAAGGTGTATTTAGGTAGCAAGAATTCTTTCAAACAAGTCTTGTTGAATAATAGACATAACTTGTTTATATATATATATATATATATATATATATATATATATATATATATATATATATATATACATACAGAGAGGTGTGATGGACAAATTGTTGTCTAAATTATGCAAAAATGAAAATAACACTGATATCTCATTTTAACAGATATATCTACCAAAATTCCACAAAAATATATTGAAATACTAAACAATAAATTTATTCAATAAAATCGTCATTGGCTTCAACCACAGCCTCCAGATGACTTTGGAATCTCCTGAAAATTTTCTGGACGGTCTCCTTGTTTAAGTTGGTAAATGCTGCCATAATCTTTGGTGTTACAGTAAAGCGTCAGATGCTGCTTAAAGGACACAAAGTTGTGGAGAGTCATGATCGTTCACATCCTGACTGGGCATGGCTCAGAAGTGAAAAATTTTAGCAAGAGTTGAGTGCTTGATTGACATTCTTTATGGTTTATCAAATCTTTGTGGATAATTTAAAGCTGAAACCTATTTGGGATTGTAAAAATAACTCCTAAGTGAAAATTGTATTAACAGTTTTATGAGAATCTCTAGCCAATAAGCCACGGCTCTATGGAACCAACTCCCAAGAGGATGTTTTCCTGATCATTACAATTTTAACCTGTTCAAGTTTAAGGTTAACCATTGTCCTCCCCATATATCCAGCTAATCTGTGCCTCTTCATCTGTAACCCTCTACCTCGAGTGGCTCCCGAGCTTTGTACAAGGTTAACTTCACTGTAAAAAAGACCAAACAATGTTTTTTTTCAGATACAAGTCCTATTATTTGATCCATACCTGGTTGAGGAGATAGATTCATATCTTTCTCAAAGGTAAGTTAATTGAAAGTAATGAACCTTTCTGGAATTTGGACCCAGCACCCTAATTTATAATTCCAAGACACTATCCATTACACCACCTGCACATTCTTGGCTATGATAAGAATTAAAATTACCCAAAGCAAAATGATAATTTTCAAAGTAAATTAATATTTTATAAGAACTAAACAGAGAGAAAAGTAATAGTATTCATATATTCTAAGATATTCTAGGCTTACCAGATATTTTGGTTCAGCCAAGATTGTCATTGATTGAGGAATACATTCCAATGATATAAGCTATCTGCTTTTTTCATGTCATCCATCCTTGAAGATTAGATAATACTGGCTCATGAAAATGCTTTTTTTTTATAATGCAAGAAGATGAACCTATAATAAACTATCTCAGTTTGAGGCTTGGAAATTATAAGCTTATTTATGGTAAATCATTAAAAAAAGTAGTAAGAAATTTGTTAAAACTAAAACCTGTCTTCCAAAATATCATATACAGGACCTTTCTTTGGTTTCCTAAACTCCATAAAAATATTTCTCAATTCTTTTTCAGTTTGGCCACATTTTTGCACTTTAGCAAGTGACAAGTGTGTGTAAAGCTGTACTAACAAGTTTTGCCTGTGTTTTTACACCAAACGTTGCTTGTCTTTATGCTTTCAGTGTGAAGCTCAACCACAAATTTTAGATGAGTAAGTTTAAAGAAAAGTCATATGGACAAACAGAAGCAAAAAGTACCTCTAACTCCAGTCTTCATGGTTCCAAGTCCTTGCTGAGTGGTGGGACGATCAACCACAGTCAATTGTGCATTCAATGCTGAAAAGAGAAATGCAGAAAAAAGAAAATTGAAAAAAAAATCCAAAAAGCTCAGACCAGATAAAAATACAGTTTCATAAAATGAAAGGCAATGTTTAACCTTTGCACCCACAAAAAAAAAAAATGGTGTATCAAAAGGATGGTTATTCCCTTGACACCACTATTACTGTGTGCACTTTTGACTCTCACAACAATGTTCATTCACAAGATTAAAAAATGTGTGAATCAAGTACAATGCAATATTTATTATTTACTATTTTACAAATAACTATGAAAACAAGTTTTTTTTATTCAATCTAGTCAATAAATATTGTTTAATATCTTTGTTGTCAATTCTCAAGAATAAAGAAAATGTATAAATTTAATCTCATATATTTGGGTTTTATTAAAATTCTAACCATTGCTTTTTAGAACAATGACCATTGCTGAGGGAGTCAAAAGTGTATACAGTAATAGCAACACCAAGGGAGTAACTGTCCTTTTGACACAGTTTTTTTTTTTTTGCATGCATGCATGATGATAAAACATTGCCAAAAAAGAATGTTCTTTTCTTATAAAAAGATGTTTCAGCATTAAAAGTTAGAAGTCATATTTATAAGGGACTTGTTAATTACATGAGCCAACCATAAAAATGTGTGTGTGTATGTGTGTGTGCTTTTATTATATAATTTGATTGACCAGAAAAATAAAAACAGATTGATGGCAGAGCTAGGAATGGTAAAGTGTCAAATACTGCTTTGAGCTATAAAGAACAGGAAGTTGTGGTGAGCCATAATCTCCCATATCCCATCATAGAAATGAAAAATAATTTTAGCAAGAATAATTTAATAATTTGACATCTTAAGAGAACACTGTAAAAATTAAAGACTAAAATACAATTTCTTAATTTTTGCAATAAAGATTAAAATTTTGCTTAAAAGTTCATTTTTCAATTAAATATTTTTTAATCTCTAGTAAAAATTGACATTTTAGAAACAGGGCAGGCATCATAAAAAGTTATGATTACACTTATGTTATGGTGAGATTAATTTCCTTAATTGATTAAAAAAAGAATTCTTATAAAACAATTTTCATAGGCTGATGCAGCAGTTTTTGACAAAATCTTTTATTCTTGAAAATTCATGCCATCATTAGTCAGTCAGCAAAATATTCTCCTTGAATTTCTATAACAGTACTTCACATTTCAGGTAAAAAGAACAATTTTAGTTTTCATTCAATTCTTTTGAGGAATGTTTGGTATCTTGGACGGATCAGACAATAATTTCTGTCTGAATTTCTAGGATGAGGAGTTATCTTTATGCTACCATTGGAAGAAGTGGCAACAAGGGCTCAACAGCAGTAGCTGCAGTAAAAAGAGACGCTTCAGTGAGTGCAATCAAGTGTGACAAGCAGCAGCAACAGCACTCATCAGTAAGCTGGTTAGGTTTAAGGCTTCAAGTTCTCCACTCAGAAGTATTACATTGGACAAAAGTCTAGCAAATTCAAGAGTTGGTTTAGGAATTTGGTGACATAGTGATTTTGAGTCCAATCCCTGAGCCAGATAGTAAACACAGTGGAAACAGGGTGAACAATAACCGAGCAGTATTAAAAATAAGAACTATATGAGATATCCCTATCAGTGGAATGAAAACAATCTACCCCCATAGATTAAATAAAGGGTTCAGTTCAAAATTGTCTGAAGGTTACCCAGATCAACAAGTGCCTGACGCAGCAACAGTTAAAATGCTGTAATAATGACAAAAACAACAATAATAGTCAGTGTATAAATAATGTAAATAATAATCAGATAGCAATTGTTGCATTGCTTGAAACAGGTGAGAATCAGAAGGTGACTGGTTTGAGGAATAATTTCCTCTCCCAGTTCAATGAGTCAATATGACACATTTGCAATTTAAGGACAGGTGTCACAGAGAAAATCAATACTTGACTTGTTCAGTGATGTAATAGAATAACCTGTCATTCCCGGTAGTAACTACCTATAAGTATCCATAAAGCAACAGATTACAGGAGTCTAGCTAAGATCTGTTGAGTCTGACTCAGACTTATGCAAGAACTACCGACCTTCCAATAGTAGCACTCACTACTGGATTGACTTGTGATGACCTTGTGCATATCTGTTACTTTATTTCTTATTGTATTGGTTTTTACAATAAATCTTTATTTATTTTATCTACCATGTTTGTCAAGTATAGATTCCTATTAGCACAGAATATAACAGTGGCAATGAGGATTGTTGAATTGAATTCACATACGATAACAACAAACTGCAGTGATGCTGAAATGAATTCACGAGAAGAAAAATATTTGTCAGTTATACATTTAGTTTACAGGAGTTTTGAAGTAAGACAATACCTTAGGATATTATAACATTTTACAATTGGAGGAAAACATTCTAAAAAGAGATTTATCATGTAAAATCTTTTAAAAGTAAGAATATTTTTGTTGTATTCTTTATTTATTATTTGAAAATTACATGAGAAATTTTAGCTTATTGGAAGGCAAAAAGTGAAGGTTGAGTATTTTTTTCTTGTCTGTTGTTTGTTTTTCTGAAAAGACTTGTGTCAAAGTATGGAACAATTAACAGAGCTTACAAAACTGTTGTGCACTAGTGTTCAGCAACAACAACAGCAAATACAACAGTTGCAAAACCAACAACAATAACAACTTCAACTTTTTGTAAAATTAATGATGAGAACAAAAAACTAGTTTCTTCTCTGCTGAAGATATTGCAAATTTGGGAAAAGAAAAAATTAAAACAAACAGAAAAATTCATGCAGGATTTGAAGGATAAATTTCCCAGAGTTTTCTTTGAAGGATTGGGTATTTGTTTGAAAACAGAGGTAAAATTTGAAATAAAAGAAAATGTTACATCGATTTTCAGACCTAAAGGGAATGTTCTATTTTCTTCATTAGATTCAGATTCAAAGTGAACCCCGAAAAAATTAAGTATCTCAGGCAGATTGTGGATAAAGATGGCAGAAAACCAGATTCATGGAGAACTGAAGCCATAAGAAATATGCCTCCCCCAGATAACGTGGCAAAATTGCAATCATTTTTAGGTTTGATGCAATACTTTGCAATATACATTCCAAAGATGTATGAATTAAGAGCACTGTTATATGATTTGTTGAAAAAGGGGTTAAATGGTGTTGGTCCAAAGACTGTGAAAAAGTTCTTCAAACAATTAGAAGCTGTTTACTGACTGATTTAGCATTGGCGCACTATGATCTAGAAAAAGAAATAATTGTTGCTTCTGATGCTAGTGAATATGGAATCAAATACTTCACAAATATGAAGATGGTTTAACAAAACCAATTGCATATGCTTCAAGGACTCTTTTGTCAGCAGAAAAGAATTACAGTCAGATCGAAAAGGAAAGATTAGCGATCATTTTCACAGTTAAAAAATTCACTCATTTCCTTCACGGAACAGTGTTTACACTACAAACTGACCATAAGCCATTACTGACCATTTTTGGATCAAAGAAGGGCATTCCAACTCATCCTGTAAACTGATTACAGCAGTGGGGTGTAACATTATTGAACTACCATTTTAAAATGGAGTACATTTTATCTAAAAATTTGGGTCATGCAGATAGACAATCAAGGTTGATTCCAAAACACAATGAAATTTTGGAACAAAATGTAATTGAAGGACAAACAAGAAATAACACATTTGCTGTAATATTGTTAAGGACTAATGATGACGCTGGGAGACATAAAGAAAGTACCAGAAAATGATAATTTTGTTAAAGATATGAAAGTACAAGCCAAGATAAATAAAAGAAATAAAAAGGGAATAAAAATTTCTGCCTATTCAATCTGTGAAAATATGCTAATGTATGCAGACAGGGTGGTAATGCCGCAGGCATTACATAAAAAGATCTTAAAAGAATTTCATACGGGTCACCCTGGCATATCATGTATGAAATCCCTCATAAGAAGTTATGTCTTCTGGCCATGAATGGATATAGACGTCAAACATTTTGTGAAAAACTGCAGAGGGTGTCAGTTAGCTGCAAGAGCCCCGCTGGTTAAAACACCACCATGGCCAGAAACAGATATCCCCTGGACATGTCTACACATTTATTATGCAGGACCACTTAACGAGTATTATTACCTGATCATTGTGGATAGTTTCTTGAAGTGGCCAGAAGTTTTTAAATACAAATACCCAACTTCTAGAAATGCTATTAGTGCTTTAGATGAAGTTTGCAGCCACTTCGGAGTTCCTCGGACAGTGAGTAGCCAGTGATAATGAAACTGTATTTACAGGCAAAGAATTTAAAGAATTCTGTGCTTCATTGGACATTGAACATGTCACAACTCTGATTTACAAGGTCAAATGGACAGGTGGAAAAATTTGTGGACACGTTCAAACAAGCATTAAAGAAAAATCAAGGAGTAAACACAGAGAAGAAAGCTATACAGAAATTCTTAGCAGTATACAGGGTAACATTGAACACAAACAATACAGCAAAATTGTCACCTGCGAAATTGATGTTTGCAAGAAAGATAAGATCAACATTCAACAGATTGTTGCCTTGTCCAAAAAAGAAAATGCATAGCAAAGAGAATTTCTGGGCAAAGAATTTTCTTTAGGAACTACCGAGGTGTTTTTGGGAGGATGAAATTATTTCAAATAGAATTGGAAGAGTAATCTATACGGTGAAAGGAAAAAAGACGTGTATGCAAAAGGCACGTAAACCAGTTAAGCCCAAGATACTCTGAAATTGTTCAACAGGATGATGAAGAAATTTCAATGGATGTCCTGTATGATACATTTGAAATAACACCACCCAATAACATACCAGAATGCATGGATATATCTCCTACACCAGCATTGCCCATAGGATCGAGATGTTATTCGCCTCGAAAGAGTAAAAGGAAAAGAAAACCCACAGTGCAGTTAAGTCCAGACCCGAAAAAGAGAAAGTATTAAAAAGCTAGATTTTCTAGAGGAAAATTTCAGCTCAGGGGAGGTGATGTAATGGAATAACCTGTCATCCCTATGAGTAACTACACTATAGGTAGTAACTACCTATAAGTATCTGTAAGGCAACGGACGACAGGAGTCTAGCTAGGATCTGTTGAGTATGACTCAGACTTGCACAAGAACTGCCGACCTTCCAATAGTAGCACTCACTACTGGATTGACTTGTGATGATTGTGGACATAACTGTTACCTTATTTCTTATTGTACTGGTTTTTACGATAAACCTTTACTTATTTTATCCGCTGTGTTTGTCAAATATATATTTCTATTAGCACGGAATATAACATTCAGAAAAGGGCTTTTATTTCCTTGTGTGTCATTTAAATGATCCAACTTCTCATGGTTCCATTGTGCGGCAATAGTTTATCTATTTACCAGCAATTTGCAATAAGAAATTCCTTTTGAAAATCACCAAATGCAAAGAGCTTTTTTCTCATGAAATTCCATTTAAACTGAAATGGTTAGAATTTTCATAATTTTAGATACTTGTAATGAATTCATTTTTCAGTGCCACTGATTATTTGTCCAAAGATGACTCTTTTTCTTTATCAATCAAGCAGAGTTTTATGAAATGTGATTCCCTTCATATTTTCTCAGTCCGACAGTAATTGTTAATCTTGCATATCATATTGTACCCCTACTCTTAATGCTTATATGGTCACCATGTCTTAGGTAAGCTAATTAGGCAGTCATCTATGTATCACTACAAAGAGAAAGTACTCAGAAATATTTCTTTCTAGCCACAGAATTTTCTCCAAGGCTTGTGAGTATTAAGCAAGCAATAAAGAGCCCAGTGAAACTTAAACACAGTTCTAAAATTTTCTTAGCATGGTGCAAAAGATCCTGATTGAAAACTTCTGCAACAACCTAGTAACTAAAGAGAAATTGCATGCCTTAAAAATGAAACATTTGAAAGAAAAAGTTTGGTTGGTTATTGACAAAATATATTACATTAGGTCACTCTACCAATGCAACCCCTTACTATATGCTGCATGGTCATGTTATAGCAACTAAACCAGTTTCCGCCCTACAGGCTTTTTTCTGGTGAGGAGTGTGACTAGATACCCAGAAAGATTAAAAGCTAGACCTGTCAAAAGGTGGATGAATCTTGTAGGGGTTGACAACCATCCAGCACAGTTTGGTAGACTCATCTCTATAACTATGTATGCAACCAGTGCATTGATGAGATGGCATCACTGATCGGAGGACAGAGGGTTCAAACTGATGAAATCAATGACCATGTATCTGTGACCAATGTGAGCCTTCAAGTTGTAAAACTTTGAATGGGGTTTGATCTGGCTCTGCCCAGTCCACTTGCCTCATATAAACTATACATGAATCAATATATCACCAGCTTTTAACCCAGATATATGGAGGGAGCTGGCACCTCGATGTGGTGTAATGGTTACCAAGCTTGTCTCGCTAGGACTATTACGACTGAGTAGTGAGTTCGATCCTCACTAGGTACCCCCTATATTCAGCCTTGTGCCACATCTAAGCTATGCTTGGTAAATCACTATATGGAGGGAGCTGGTCAGGTGCTTGGCTGTGTAGCAACCCTACAACCACACCCGGCCATGGGACTGCTGCTGCTGAACTATAATGCTATCACATAGCTTACAAATGAATTAACTGTAATGTCTCTAAGAGTTTTTCACAGTACTAACATCGACTTTAGAAATTTTCTGTGTTATAGAAATTAACTTTTTAGGCAATCCTGGAACACAGATTAAGTTTTTTTTAAAAAACAAAACAAAAAAGAGAAGTCAATATTTTGGATTAGATGTTCTTAAAACTGTATCAAATTATTTAAACAAGTGAAAAAATAGTAAGTTTGCTAGATTAATGTTTATTATTATTAATATAAACATTAAAAAATTATTCAAATATTTCTCTCATGGTCAGCTCTGTGTAGTTATGTCCAGAGTAGGAATATGTAGGTGAACATAATGGCAAAAAGACGTTGGTAGAGCAGGGTCAAAGAGGAATGGTAAAGAGTATAACATATTTACTTACCACCAACTGTGCCAGTTCGAGCACCAGGATGAGCAGTCCCAGGGTTCTAGAAAGACATCAAAATAACCGTAAAACAATAAAAGTAATAAAAAAAGCACATACTAAATAAATATATGTGTGGGGAAATGTTTGCATGTTCATTGTGAGGAAATGAAATAAAACCAATTAATAAAATAATAAAAAAAAATTAATTTTCCCATGATGTAAGTTATAAAGAAACTGGAAAGGATTTCTGATTACATGTGTGATTTTATGACCCCACTTTTGAAAAGGATAGAATATTTCTCTTTCTACTTTCCAATGATATTGCATGCACATATTTTCAGCAGCCCTACTCATGAAGTAGAGATTCGGCCATTCCAACTTAGTGCAAGGTTAACTTGAGCTTGACCATCTTTATCTGTTCTTATGCTTACTTCCTATAAATTATTTCTGAACCGAAAAGGAAAAATGGACATACTTAACAAGTGACATTTAACTTTGAATACAGTCAACAGAAAAGGAATAAATGTTTATAGAAGAAACATAAGATTTTTTATGCTTCTCCTATTTCTTTGTTTATATAGTGAACATGAAAAAATACAAAACCTACAAGCTTGTTAACTTCTACATATGGAAAAAAAGAAAAGGTATAGAGTTTTTGTTCATATCTGCATAAGTATAGATTTTAAATGTATTACATACAAATTAGTCTGAATTTATAAGGTAATAAGATAGTTGTAATTAACATATACATATTTAATTGTTCATTAATGTGTTTTTTTCTCTAAAAAGCCTTGTCAGTTGACACTCATCATAGGAAAATATCAACAAGAAACTGAAAAAGAACAAACACAACACATGAAGTATCATAAATGAGAACAAGAGAGAAAGAAATGGACAAATTTGTTGGTGTGATTCTAAAAGGGTGTAAGTTGACCTTTGTCCTTTTTGCATGTATTTCCATTTTTGAAACTGATTTCTAGGTGATGATTTAAACAATATTCTTATAAAAAGACATTTTGTGAAGTTTTAAAATATCATATGAATTTTTAATTTTATTTTTATTAAAAGTTCAAAACAAAAATGCATAATATGAATCTCTTAAAAAATGTTTTCTTTCATTTCACCAAAAATGCACTTACGCTCTTTTAACATTACACTATATCGTCCATAAGCTTCAATTAAAAAAGATACTTTTGCCTACTTGCACAACTCAAGTCTTATTGTGTTTACATAGACAGACTCTCATGAAAAAATTGGACCTTGCCTGTCTAATGATTAAAAAACAGTACCCGCTGTATATAGCCACACCCAGAGTGGATTGTTTGAAAAATGCTGTCCTATAGCTGAGTCAACCATATGTTCACAGGGATAAGATGGTTGTATGTTAGTCTGTTGATGTATTTTCGTTGGTAGGTGCACTGATTAGACATTATGTACATGTATTACAGTTTACTTATTTTTGTTTAGTCCTTAGCAGTTTCTGTTTATAAAATCTATCCTGAGAAAAGATAAGTTATTTTATATAAAGAGCAAAATTCTTGAAATATTTAACAAAAAATATGGAGGATTTTTGATGAAGAGAAACTCTAATGCAAACAAAAATCATATTTACATAATAATGTCTTACATTCAAATATAAATACATAGGTGGAAATGCTGAAAAGTTCTCATCCTAATCAAGAAGTGATTAAAAAAAATTCTGTTGTTTTGGGAAGTTGGTTGGGCTTAGAACTTTTCAGCAGAGAGAGAGAAGTAATATAAGTAAATATATACTGTATTTTCTTGTGCATAAAATGAAAAATTATGAATAAAAATTAAAGGGGAAGAAGGGGTATATATTATACACAAGTACATGTTTTCGGAAATTTTTACTCATCTTAAAAACTTAATTTGATATGTCAGCAATATTTATTTCTCACTTCATTCTTAATGAATGACAATATTTTTTTATTTTTATAGTTTATTAATATTTAGAAAAACATATCAAACAGAAAAGTCATATAGATTAATTAACACCTTAAAATGCATTACTGGATTTGTCTCGTTAGCAGCTTTTCAAAAGTAAGTTTTGAAACTGAAGTTACGAGAAAACATAAATATCCACTTTATTTCTATTCTTTAATATCATGATAAATTAAATATTTTAACAAAATATATGCACAACATTCAGATTTTAATGAATAATATGGTACAACATTTCAAAAAAACAATTTTACATAGGAGTGGTTTTAATTTAGTCATTGTTTTTACTTCAAAAACATGGGATTGTATGATACACAAGAAAATACGGTACCTGAATAAAACATTGATTAACTAACACTTCAGCTGTAATGTTAATTTTATATTTTCTAACATATATAATGATTATAATTCACAGAAATTTATATTCAGTTAATTATAAAGCAGCTTGGGCAAAAAACAAAGCTATGAAGACAGAGTGATAATCTTTGCCCCTGTATAAATAAAGAATGATAAATAAAGCTATTTCGATGAAAAAAAAAAAAAAAAAAAAAAAAAAAAATCAAAACTTTAAACTAATTTCCAATACATGATATTTGATAACTAACTGATATAGATATAACATTATAGTTACAAAAACTAATAGAAATATGAGACTCAATCCTTCATGTTTAAAATGATTGCTTATTCACATCAATTAACGTCAGTGTATAGGTATGCACTATTAGGGGCTTTAGGGGCAAATGTTTATCTTCTTCTTGGGAAGATATTAGAGACTGGCTTTTCCCCTCTGGGGTGAAGTGCTTATATAACTTCCCTGTCATCCAGTTGTCTCTGTGTGCACATCCTAATCTCAGCTGAATCGATCACTTGTTTATATGATAGAGCAGCCACTGGCATCTTTGAGTTCGAATAATGCACCTATTGACTCAGAGGCCATTTTCCAAGATAACCTTCCAATGCAACTGACTCTTTTGATGCTCTGGTGTGAAACTGAGTGCAAAGTATATTTTGATATCATAGATAAAAACATTAATAGTTTAATAAAAGTAATAAAAGACATAAAATATAAACTTTTACAGATAAATAACAAATGTGTAAATACAATTAGATAACTGACACTTTCAATGCTGTGTTGTTGTAGCATTGTTGCATGACTGTGAATGGGAAAGGTGGCTGATGATCATTGTCACTTAAATCCTACTTTGCTGAGGAGTATTTTTTTTTTAAATGACATCATTTTTAAATCATAGTTTTGTAATTATCATTTACATTCTGGCTGTTATTTACTATTTATTTTCAAATGGGTTAAATAACAGGGTAGACTGAGAACTCTAGACTTGAGTGGCAGCCAATATGAGAGAGAAAAGAACTCAGAAGTTAAAAAGGTGAAGAAGACAACAAGAAATTCACACTAGTGTTTCTCTCAGTAGATTTGCCTATCATCTTGTTCACACTCCTCCCCAGTCTTGAATGAAAGAGGTTTATCCCTTGTTTCCTGTTTAGGATTGGGTTTCCAGTTCATTCTAAAGTCTTTTCCTTCTCTTTCGCTTCCAGTGGCTCTTTCCATCTTAGTAGCATTATTTTCTTGGTTGGGGTGAATTAATTAAAAAAAAAAAAATGTTGCAATTCACAGTGAATAAAGAAAAGAAATCTATGGAGAATGCTAATCAATCTTTATTTTGAGCCCTGTAACAATTTTTGTTTTCAAATTGTCTGTCTTTTTTTTTCTTGTATTTTTTTTTTTTTAATTATTACACCCCATGCAAGTCAGTAGAGCCACTAAGACACAATGTGTGACTGAGTGTCAAAGAAAATGAAAAACATTATTAAGGAGCAAGAACAATACAAGAGTAATCAGGAAGACAGTAGATAACAATTGAGATTGAACTTAAATTTTTGAAGATCAAAGTTTGTTGGAAAGCATGGAGCTGGAATACAGTTCCACAAGCAAGAAGTCCAAGAAAAGAAACAGTTAGCATAGAATTAACAGTTATATCTAGTCAATTCAACTGTGAATTGATGAGACCTTGTTGTCAATCTAGTACTGCACTTAAATTCATAAATTCTTGATACCATAGTGAAGAGTTCATTTGAAGTTACCATGAAAGGATTTATTGAAAAGACACGGGGAAGCTATATTATAGCAGAGGAAAAGTAACTGAAGCTGAGATACCAGGGTAGGACCAGTAATATTGCTGATTCTTCTTTGGGGTTCATCAACAAGAGAACCATACCATATGTGGCAGCAATATTTCAAAGAATGCTTAACACTTTGTTCATTAAATAATTCCTCTTTTGAATTGGAATCAACAAAAATGTCTATCTGCTGTTCAATTAGACACTAATAGCAATTTATTATAGGTATCACCATTTTGGCTTTGAGCAGATATTCTTGCTGTATAAACTAAGTTAAATGAGACCCACAACCATCAATGAAATAAAAAGACATCAGAAATCAGGTTGTATTGTATGCTACTATATGGAAATAGAAGTAAATGCTAGTTAGTTTATAAAACTAGGGCCTGAAATTTCACAGTGTCTTGAAAATGTATATGTACGTTGACAGCAGGCAATATAGGCTTTTTAAAAACATAAGTATATCTTGAAAATGTGGATATACAAATATTTAGCTATCCCCCCACGAGGATCGAATGTGGCACAAGGCAAGTTTAATGTGGGTATCCCGAGCCTGTAGGCTCGGCCAAAAATATAGCCATCAAACTTGCCTAGGCGGGTTCGAGGCCTGTCAACCTCCCCGAATGAAACCTTGCCCTTCGGCAAAGCTTCGTCCAGGTTCCTCCCTGCTAATGCAGAGAGTTAGACAGACGGCGCTGACTGTAACTTAATACAGCTTGAAAATGTGGATATACATCAAACGCAGTCAATGAAAGTATTGTAATATAATGTATTGTAAGATATAAAGTGCATTAAGAAATACTAGCCCAAACATAAACATGCACCTTGGATTTTTTCAAATATCTTTCTTAAAAGAAATGCTCATTTCTCAAGCTAACATATTTATAAATGGTCATAAAGTTAAAAAAAATTAATGAAAATGGTTACCTAATGGCTTTTAAAGATATAATAAAAAATAAAATA